GGATCTGAAGCAAATTGCAAATACGAATAGAATCTCGCACATAATCATTTAACTGATACGGTCGTATTCAAAGTTCTTGATGTTGTCAGAACGGGTTACAGTAAATGGTCGGCCATATTTACTGTGTTGACTGCGTATGATCCGGACTGATTTCAAATCAAATCACTAAAATAAAAGGATGCCATTCAGGTCGCCATAGTGTGAGCGAATAATGGAGACTGGTTCAAAACTTTCAGATGAAAAACCCTTCTGAGTCGCTTCTCAAAAACGTCGGAACTCGTCAGACCACCACTTCAATGACATTAGAACGCAGTATCGCACTGTCGGGTGATAAATGAGAATCCCTACAGTTCGATGGACCGATGCTACAAATAATTTCTCAAAATTGACGAGCTATGGGCGAAACTTCGGGACCTCCTGCTTTTCCTAGTGCCTTCGTCGTTTCTCAATTAGACCTTATTTCAAGTACTAGGCCTGGGATAGCTTAGCTCGTACTCTGCTCAACTGGGTTTCTCAATTAGACCTTATTTCAAGTACTAGGCCTGGGATAGCTTAGCTCGTACTCTGCTCAACTGGGACTGGCAGCTAGATAGTTCCCCAGAATTCTTCGATATCTGATGTCTCTTTGGGGATCGTTTTTCTGGGTACACATTCCTGAAGGAACTCAGTTCAATGGTTTCTTCTCGCTAAATTAACTCGGGGGATATTTATCCCTTCGTTCATGAACTCTCATGAACAGATCTGGCTATAAGGTGGTAGTGGCCTCTATTTCGTTTGACATCAAAGCCATTACCACCTTGGCAGCTGCTCTGGTCCCACAGCCATTACAAAATCGCATCACGTGGCCGGATTAACCATAACGAGAGTAGACACTGAAGCTCTTTTAATTCACGACGACCCTAACGAGCAACCTTTTTTCATCTGCTCCTCGACTGCTAGCTTTTGACGGTTTTGTAAATCATGGACCATGTTCGCAAACTTTCCACATATGTATGTAAGGGTTTGCAGGGACGAGACAATTATTATGAATTAACTCAGCAGAACGTGCTGGGTCTGCCTTCTTCTTAAAGCCGGTTCGAGATGACTTTCAAGTAGCGAATCACCTTTTATTCGTCACCCAAATTTGACATTCGAGCAGCAAATTGGCCGGATTAAAACTCGTAAATGTTCAATAGGGGCAGACAATTTGGTCTTCATATGGGTAAACGAGCGAGGAAGAGGCAGACGGATATGTTATCCGTACATCCATGGTTAGTGTCCCCTAACAATAGGAGCCCAATGGAAGCTTAACGAGAAACTCGGGAGAAATCTGGAGAGTAGGTGATTACTTTCCGCACAACCTTATACTTCGATCGGAAACGTTTGGGGAATCGTAGGTGTATCAGGCTTTTCATCTTCGTGTTTTCAAGGTAACTCCTAAGGTAGCCTCTGCCACGGCATATTTGGGTGGCAATGCGGCTTCAGAACAGATTCACTGTCCTAGATGTTGTATTACTATTGTATATTTCATGGTAACTATAGATCAGGTCGT